ACACCTTAGGAGACACCGTTTCAAGTTACTGATTCCAAAGTATCGATTGGAATGCTGGGGCCAATCTTTTGCCGTCAGAGTATGCGGTACTTGGAATGCCTTTCCATCTCACGTCATTTGTGCAGCTAATATTGAATGTTTCATGCAGAGGCTTGATGAAACCTTGGCACACTTCATAATCCTACACAACTAAAAGCAAACGCAAATTCATTGACGCCTACACTCTTTATTATCTTCTACCTGGAACTCTATGGGACTTTTATTCATCGTAAAACGATACAATTGTGTAAATTTCCCATGGGGAAAAGAGAAGCATGAGCTTGTAATTTATTCCCATAATAAAACTTTGACTTTGGCAATGCCATCTTGATCGACGGGCTGAACATTTCGAGGCTCAGTTAAACTGGCCCATATCAACTTCCGATCTACCACTATCCACATCGACTGGGCAAATAATTTCAGTTGACATCAGTCCTCCATTTGAAATGGAGTTTTCCCGACAAATAAGTTATCCTAAAAGGTATACGGCCTCCGGCCCAAATGGGTTGTTCCCGTCGGCTTTCAAGGATGGAGGTTTAATGTTAGTCTTGGAGTTGAAGAATCTTGTGGGCTCAGCATGGAGGAGAAAAAAGGTTCCAACTGAATATTGTGAATCCGCCATACTACCGATTTACAAGATAAATCATTGATCCTTTTGTGAAAACCATAAGGAATCAATTTAATGAACAGTGCTTTGAAACTTACCTATGGGATCATACTCCGCCGATTGTCAGCCACACGTGAAAAGTGCACGTGTCAGAACTAGGCTAGTGGTAGACCTGTTCGAGGTTGTATCCACCACATCTGCACTCTTCGCCAAATTCTGCACCAACGACATTCTAGACTCATAGACTCACTATCTCTGTCTTCGTCTATCTAAAAGCGGCGTTCGACTCAGTCAATCGCTCTAAACGTTGGTGCTGCCTTTCCCTGAAGGATGTGCCCGAGAGGAATATTTCAACATTTCAATCACTTTAAACTAATAACCGAAGTCGAGTCCCAGCTTACCGTATTTTTTTTCGTCCGAGTTCACCACGAAACGTGATGTTCGTCAGGGTTGCCCCTTATCTCTTTATTATTTAACTGTGTCATAGATTTGCTTATGGAAACAACTCTATCCTCATACGAGGATAGTGGGACTTAGTTGCTTCTGGCTTGTGAACTGTCTGATATGGAGTATGCAGACGAAATTCTACTACTAGGTGAAGATTCAGGTAGGTTGCCAAATTTTATGGATAGTTTGTGTGCCAGTCCGCTTCTACGGTGTAAAAGCACGTCCATTAAATAAGCAAGATAAAGATAGACTGTCGGTGTTTGAAAGTCGCTGCCTGCGCACCATTGATTGAATCTGGTGGGGCGACCGGACGAACATTGCTGAAGTACGACGCAAATTGTTTCAGATAACCGAGGTACTC